ACCCTCTTCTATGATGATGGTTGATGATGGTGATGATGATGATGATGATGCATGATGAAGGATGATGATGGATGATGATGACCGATGATGGTGGTGGATTGAGGCGCCAGGTGGTTGGTAGGAGGGGGGTGGCTACTAGTAGTAGTAGTAGTAGTAGTAGTAGTAGTAGCAGTAGTCGTAGTGGTGGTAGTGGTAGTGGTAGTGGTAGTGGTAGTGGTAGTGGTAGTGGTAGTGGTAGTGGTAGTGGTAGTGGTAGTGGTAGTGGTAGTGGTAGCAGCAGCAGCAGGAGCAGGAGCAGGAGCAGGAGTAGTAGTAGTAGTCGTCATCGTCGTCGTAGCAGTAGCAGCAGGAGTAGTCGCAGTAGCAGTAGCAGCAGCAGCAGCAGGAGTAGTAGTAGTCGTCGTCGTCGTCGTGATGGTGGTGGTAGTAGTGGTAGTAGTGGTAGTGGTTGTGGTAGCAGCAGCAGCAGGAGGAGGAGGACCAGGAGGAGGAGTAGTAGCAGCAGTCATAGCAGTAGCAGAAGTCAAAGCAGTAATAAGTAGCGGTAGTCGGAGGCGTAGTAGGAGCAGTCGTGGTCCTCGTGGTCGTAGTAGTCAGAGCATTTGTGTAGTCGTGGCAGTAGGCGTCGTAGTAGCAGTGTTAGTGATAGTACGAGCAGCAGCTGTAGCTGTCGCATTGATTGGCAGTACCAGCAGCCAGTGTTTTGTGTTTTGTTGCAGCATCCACGGACCTGAGGAACGACCTCATGAATGAGCACACCGATGAAGCCGAGACCTTGACTGCGAACCCCCTTTGACATCAACCCCAGCGACAATCGAAGTCCTTCTATCGTGCAGAATTAACTCCTTGAGCCCTTTTGTGTTTAATTCGGTGAGCCGAGGCTGGGCGGTGATTCGTGGGCCGGAGTTTGGGCTTGTTGAATTGAAAGCCGGTTTGGATGCAAGACGCTGTAGCCTGATACGCCAAACAGGGCCACTATAGCCGCTCAGAAACCGGCATCGAACAATTTTGGAACACTTTGTGGCGTAAGGCATCCGCCAATTGGCACACGTTGAGACATGGGCAATCACTGTTGTGCTGGAAGCGATATCTCGAAACCAGACCTCCTGTATTAGGTTGCTAGCATACAGCATCGGCTTGTTCCGGAACCCATCCGACCGATTGTGCGGAGCTGCTGTATTTCAATGCCACTGTTTGAAGAAAACTTGGCGAATAACGCCTGCTGCAATACTCTGTTTTCGCCAACCCTGCTACAGGTTCCAGGGAGCCTTTGCTGAAGCTCGATGGCTCGCTGTATAGACTCAGAGCCGATGGGCAGTGATATCCGATCCTGTAGGTAACAGCTCGGAGCATGGGACTCACGCGGAGCTGTGAACAAACACGGACCGCCGCTTTATGCTACTTCCTGCAACATGTGGCCTTCCACCTTGAGCTTGAATGATTGATGCCCGAAGACAAGGCTTTCGCTAGAGTTACTCTGTCGGTGCCCTACAGAATCGTGGGTTTCTGCCAGCAAAGATCCCCTCAAGTCACATGGCCTTGCGGCAAGACACGCTGAACGTCTCTGACAAACACTTGTTGATGAAGGCTCTTGATATACAACATCTCGGCTCAAAGCCACTTGCAAACTCACGCCTGACTTCAAAGAGGTCCTTGTCTTGGATAGCTCTTGGCTTCATTTTAAGAGCGCTTCCGAATCCTGCGGCAGGTGATCGAGTTTAGGGATCATGCTTTGAACGGTTTTCGTTTTCTGTACACCTTGCAGAGTTCGGCGGCGCGCCACTTTCTCGGACTCGTCTCAGCACCATGGAGGAGATAGACAGGCTGCTCTCCACCATCGAGCTTGACGAGTACACCATCAAGGAGCCCAAGAGACATCTGAGTCTAGAGGTTTTTAGTGGGAGCGACTTATGAGAAGCCCCGCACCGTAGCCTCTGCACCCCGCACATGATGCCGAGAAGGAAGTCCAGAATGGTTGGGAGACGACCGAGAAGCGGTTGGGCGGTCCAAAGGCAGCCGGTGAGGAGGTGTTTACGAAGTTGAGGCGCCTGGGCACAGCAAGATTCAAAGTTGTCTCTTTGATGAGGATGGAAGAAACGACAGTAGTTGCATTCCGGCGCCGCGCTTTACTGAATCAAAGTCGCAGGAACGAACTTCCAAAGACGCAGGGGATGCTCACACGATCCAGCACCGTTTGGCATCTCCTGTCGGAGTTGCTGCAATCCCTTGGGCAGCCCAAGGTGGTTCAGAAGCGCCTGGAGTACAGCGCCCTGCGCCACATGAATGCGGACATCACCACGGCCGACGTCGAGATCTTCCGCAACATCCTGTTTGAAGTTTGTGCCTCGAAGCTGGGTGGCTTGATGACTCCAGAGTTCCAGTTTGGCCTGGGTCAGATCGTTGTGGCCGTGGGCACTTCCCTGGCCAAGACCCATGCGCACTATGCAAAGCGGCTTCATTTGCTGACATCTTGCTGGAAGGAAGTGAATGTGACCGAGGACGACACCCAAGAGCAACAGGGCCCCGTGTCTCGGCAAAATTCAGAGGAGCAAGACAAGCCGGCAGGGGAGGAGGAAGATGCGACAAAGGACAAGTCCGAGCAGCAGGCAAAGGAAGCTAACATGGCCGGGGATGGTGCAAAAGATGTGGAGAAGGGTGAACAGGAGCAGGGAGATGAAAAGCATGGAGCGTGGCAGGACAACTCCAACCTGAACATTCCAAAGACCTTTGCAGCAATGGCTCGGTTCAATGCTGCTGTGATGGGCAC